GAGAGGGAGAGAGAGGGGGAGAGAGAGAGAGAGAGAGAGAGAGAGAGGGAGGGAGGGAGGGAGGGAGGGAGGGAAACAGACGGACAGATAGACAGACAGACAGACAGACAGACAGACAGACAGACCAGGCAATCATCTCTGCCTAGGTCTGAGCAAGCAGACTTATTCTCCCAATGTCACCCCTCCTCTGCCATAGTGACCTATGGCTCCTCAAACTTTGAGCCAAAATGATTCTTCCTTGGGTTGCTTCAAGTCCAGTATCCCCTCACAGCAGTGAGAAAAGATACAAATGCTCCTGAAGATATGTCCAGATTCTAGGAGTTTAATTTTTATGTTCTCTTTCAATGTATTCAATGGAAGAAAGCAAAAACTATTCCTGGTATGTTCTTTTGACACCTACTATTGGGGGGAAAAAGTTGTTTTCCTGCTCTAAAAAGTATATATAAGTTCACAGTCTACATAGAAAAGAGAAAGCTAAGCAAAAATGTATATTTTTAATATTTTGGAAAATCAGCTATAGGCATTCTTAAGGTAGTGGTAATGTTTCCTTAATCTTAGACATTAATAGTATATTATTTTTAAAAAGACTATACTATTCCACAGATGAAGTTACACAGAGATAGATTTAGCCCATCATGGATGTGGCTCACCCTTGCTCAGTCTTCTACCCAGATGAATACTGCAAGCAGCACGGTATATAAGCGGGCCCTAAGGTGCTATCATACTCTTTAACAAGGGTATCAGTGAAGTTGCTAAGACAGAATAGAAAAGGCAAACACACTGTTCGGGTAACACTTTGTAAATATCTGATATGAAATTAGTTTGACGAGAGGGGTAATCTATCCTAAAATGTTGAAATTATGATATTCTGTGTATGCCACTATTAAAGGTTCATAATACTCACCCAGGCACAGTAAAAAGGACCCTTTCTTTGTGATATTCTATGTAAGTTAACATGTTTTTAAACTTTATAAGCCAACTTCTAGCTCTCACGTAAGTTGAAACATCAGAAATACTCATGAATCTAAGAAAAAAATGCACATACGTATTGTTAAAAATAGTGTCTCAGTTGGGACAATAAAATAGGGGAAGATATACAAATGCAAATTCAATGTGAGCTTACTGAATATGCTTACTCAGCCTTTAGCTCCTGCACCTATTCACCTGTCCACCATGGCCATGTTTCAGTGACATTTTTAGCCTGACACTCCTGTGTCATTGTTCCTGGATCTATCCCGACCTGAGACAGAACCCATTAAAGCCTCTCCAGACTGTCCCCTTTGGAGTTCTGGAATTAAGCTTCTTTTTGTTTCGTGTTGCCTAACCCTAAAGGCAACTGAATGTCCCAACTTCCCCACGTGCAATTCCTGGGCCAATAATAGGTCTCCCTCAGAGATCACCAGACTGTTGAAATAGTAATGTCCTTCCCGCGCCCCCCCCCCACCCCCGCTGGTATCTCTATCACCATCTCACAGGTTTGTCTCAGAGTGTCCATTCACCAGTGCTTGTCAGGATAATGACCAGATACTGATATGTATCTAAGACACTGAACCTTTCCCATCAGACTGCTCTGCATCTAGCAATAGCATCACTTAGACCAAGTACTCCAGAGCTCACTCCATCCCCAGAGAGCAGTCTATGAACAAGATCCAGGCTTCTGTACCTTTTCCAATAAAGTGAATATGATATAAAAGCAAAATAATAATAAGAACAATCAAAGCTATGTAGGTTCTCATCCATGAATTCCCTTGTCTCTTACTTAAGCCCGAATCATCTCCAAACTTATAAAACTAATGAAGGTGGGAGGCATGATGGAGAGGGCCATTCAAACAAGACGAGTAGAAGGTAGTGTTACAGACAGCTGTGAGAGTTTACCCAGCATGCTCAAGGCTCTGGGTTCAAGGCCCAGCATAAAAAAAGAAAGGGAGGGAGAGAGGAATAGACAGAGGAAGGAAGAGAGGAAGGAAACGGAGCAGAAGGGAGAAGAAGAACAATTGTTATTGGATAGATAAATGAATGGGCGGGGTAACAGAAGGTCAAACAGGACACAGATAGCAGAAATGACAGATGGGTTAATCCAGACATTCAGTTCTCAGTTTGTCCATAGTGTCACATTCATTCAATTTGGGAAATATCAATTAAAGAAGTGTCTCACTTACTTTCCGTGGATGGGGCAGTAGCTTTTGGTGGCACCGATTAATATTCGAGCTGCCTCTACTCCAAGGATACCATCATTACACTGCTTTTCAAAGCTACTCTAAAACAGATTTTATATTTTAGCATTTTGTATTTATACATATTGCTTATATTTATATATTTATA